ATATTATATACCGCGGACTGAAGTAGTACTTTTAATCCCGAAGGTAAAGTTTATGGCCCGACCGAAGGGAGGGCCATAATTTACCTGAGGGATTAAGACCACTACTTCAGTCGCAAGGTATATACGATATTTTTCGTACTTGCGTAACTGAAACACTAAAATCTGTATGGAGTTAGAGAACGCGTTCTTTCAAAAAATCGCTGCTTAACAAGTTACCATAGGAACGTTGCGTTGGCGTTGGTACGACAATCCCTATGCTATGGTAACAAAAATAATTTGGAAACTGTCATTGCTAGTGTCGTAATTTTGGTGGTAGGGTGTATTTGATATTGATAAAAAGCAGCCAAACTAGGTAAAGAATTAATGCCACCGAAATCCAAAAAAGTATATGAGCAGCAGTACGATGCGTTTAAGAAGTGGTGCCGCATACAAAATGTGGAACAACCTACTGAAATTGCCTTGTTAGTAATTTCATCCTTCCGGGATTTTCGTCCAAATTTAATCCCGGCGGGACAAAAAGTGACACTTCACTACTTGTCATAACGGAGTGAAGTTGTCACTTTAGTCCCGGAAGTACGAAAACACTTTAATTAAGGTATCGTAATTTTTTTGATTTGTAAAAAAATTATGATCGTTTCTTTTTAAGAAATTTTAATGAAAGTGTTTAGGATGCTCTCTTTTTATGATGCAGTGGCGTGGAAAAGTGTTCGTGCATGGATATTTCAAAATGCATAGTGGGTTAGGTTGGTAGATCAGCTCCAGCCCACTTAAAAATAAAGACCAAAAACAAAATTTTAAAAAATGGATTAACAGAATTCGCCAAATTAAAAAAATACCAAAGCAAAGGGTAGGTTGTCCTACAATCAAACTTCTACAAGCTCTCTGCTTGGCACATTTTTATTCAACACTTACAACCCACTATTTTTTCAATTGGTGACTAAAAGTGAGGCTCGATTGTACAATCTACCTAAATTCTCGACTTCACATTTCTATAGCGCATTTTTTAAGTGCGAGTGGATGGATTCTTTTTATAACTCTAATTGGGCCTACTTCGCTGTAGTGTTCCAATTGTTAAAGCTAAGTAACACGACTTAACTATCAACCCGAACTACTTAGGCTAATAATTTCGAGCCAAAAACCTCGTTCGTTTGCGATTTTTAGCGTGTTTGCAGCGACATAAGCGGATAGTACTTGGCGGACGGTCTGTACTTCCACTGGGAGCAGATGCGATCCGCCTCCTCCTTAGTGTAGCCGTTTCTGGAAAAAAAATTCGATATAATACAAAGCACTTTATTCGACAGAAATCATAAAAGGTGAAGCTTCTTCAACATTCTATTAAAGTATATTTCAAGTACTTCTCCTCTCGTACTGCAGCAAAACGTTCTCGACGGCTCGTAGCGTTCAACTACAGCAAACTCTATCCCACACTTATCATGCTCTACCGCATTCTCGTCGACTCTCTCACTACTATAACAGCAAACTAGACGAAAAGTCACAAGACATCGAAGGTTTTACCTCTGAAATTCCGAGCAGGGGTTCCGCTGCTTGAAGCATATCACTTGGACCACGTTGAAGAATATCGCGCCGATCGTGTTCGCCGTTTCCGAATTGACGTTCTGCAGGCATCGGCGGAAGTTCGCGTCGCAGTCGCAGTGTGACCTAAAAGTTGACGGTTAGTTTGTCTCATTTCTTTTGCGTTAATTCAAAGCAAGTCTCACAACGAGATTTTTTTAATTACAAGAACTGCTCTTTATTTAAAAAAAAAAAGAAAGTCTCCTAACAGGTTATGGGCCCAGTTTACGCAAACTTTTTATTTAAAGCGTCAGAGTTGGGTTATTTCCAAGACCTTGTAGGCTGCCCACTACGAGTTTAAATTTTTTGTTAGATCCTGTGCGACCGTGTAAAAAATGTTATATATACCGCCTAATAATGTAATTGTATAATGGAAATTGGAGAAAAGGGAATGAGTACCTACATTACCTAGATGGTTTTCTGGAGCACTTTTTCCTTCCTTGTAATCAATGAAGACCTTAGAGCTACTCTCATGGAAATAGTAAACAATTCGCTGTCAGAAACTGTTTTCGTCAAATACACATAGCTGCAAATTCGTATTGAGAACTATCGCATAAATTTAGAAAATCACAAACGGACGTTTCTGGCGAATAAATCGTAAATACGGGATCGAAAATTCTAATTCGAAAGTGAAAGTAATCCCAGTTTCGCGATGTAGCATTGAGTTCGTTTGGCGTTTTCAGTGCGCTAAATAATAACTTACATGGCAAAAGGGTAAATCTCATTTAAATGCAGACGATATAAACACAAAGTTCATTGCCCGAACAATTAAACAAGAAAAGTCTGGAGGAAAATCCAAGGAATCTTCAACAACACCATCAATTCGAAAAAGATAGTAGAAATTTGTATTATAGGGAATAACCATTGATTCTAGAAAACGCGATAATTAAGGTAACGTAATCTTCTTTGATTTGTATAACAAAATGATCGGTTCTCTTTAAAAATCAACTGAATTCATCTAGAAAGAACAATTACACAAGAAAAGTCTGGAGGAAGATCCAAGGAATCAATTCGAGAAAAGCACTAAAAATTTGTAGTATAGGGAAACCAATGATTCTAACGTTGTAATTAAGGTAACGTAATCTTCTTTGATTTGTATAACAAAATGATCGGTTCTCTTTAAAAATCAACTGAATTCATCTAGAAAGAATTTTAGAGCGCCGAGTCCGCCATGGTAAAAAGGACACAAGTGTATTAGTGTATTAGTTTGACAGTTAAAGTTACCTCAAACAGAGGGTTTCTTACGTTTATAGTCTGGAGTTGATTTTTTCAAGAGGTTACACAGTGTTTTTTTAGCGCATTTTTTAAGAATTAAAAACAAGTAAAATTGATAAAGCGCATTTTTTAACCGAAGTAGCTTTTGCTTTGACATCACCAATTTCTTGCAGACGTCTCAATCGCCCTTTGTAAGTACCTACCCTCTTCCGACAATCCGTTCTTGAGGTATAAGGGAATATACCCGATCACGATAAGAGGTCAAGGAGGAGGGCTATGGATAAAACTAGTTTCGCCCCCCTCTCCCCATCTACCCGGTACTTTGATAAGAGGACAGAAAGAAGGGCAGTAGTTGGTAGAAAACGGTTCATTTCGTCGAGACCTTTAAATAATACAATAAAAAAAAATTAATTTTTACCCCCCCCCCATTTTTTTAATCTTAAAAAATGCGCTAAAAATGTGCCATTGTCTGCGTTTTCTCCGTCCGTCTGTCCGGACCCACTTCTGCCGTTTTGAACTACTTCTAAGGGAATGGTCATAGAGTCCTGGATTTTTTTCATACCCTTCATGGTATTCTAATGAAAGATCTCATCGAAATAAATTGGTTTGTACAAACTATACCTTTCCCGTTGCGACTCTTTTTCGAGATCAGTGAGCTACGGAGCCTGAGGGGTGGGGAGAGGGTTAAAAATTATTTTATCTCTCATTGCATTATAATTAAAAAAGGTCTCAACGAAAGGAATCGTTTTCTACCAACTACTGTCCTTCTTTCTGTCCTCTTATGAAAGTACGAGATGGAGGGGGAAAAGGGGGCGGACTAGTTTTATCCTTCACGGTACTCTAATGAAAGGTCTCAACGAAAGGAATTAATTTTTACCAACCAGAGCCCTCCTCCTCGACCTCTTATCGTGATCGATGTCGGAAGAGGGTACTCACAGAGGGCGATTGAGGCGTCTGCAAGAAATATATCTATTAATGATGTCAAAACCAAAGCTATTTCGGTTAAAAAAAATGCGCTTTATCTGCACAAGAGTTATGCACAATTTATACTTGTTTATTGGGTGTTGCGAGATGGAGAAAGTGCTGTCCTTATTTGATCGAATTTTCTAAATTTTTCGATTTTGTATGTGGACGAGTGGTTCCCAAATACAGTCCTGACTTTTGAAATGCGTGGGAAAGGTTAAAGTTCCGGGAAGTCGTGGAACAGGACGAAATTACGTGACGGTTTTATAGGGGTCACGTCCGTATTTACCAAGCTTTTTGCTGAGATTGTAAGAATTGGGTCCACGTGAAGTTAAGCAATATGTGGCAAGAAATCTCATTGGCTAGAAAAAGAGAGACTTATTGGTGGAAAAAGGTTGAACGTCCCAGAATGGGACCAGTGAACAATAAACTAGCAAGCGGTCCGGCAATTCAGGTTAATCGGAGGAGCAATTCGTTTTGAACCGCGAAAGACAATTAGCGTCAAATTGTCAGCGAAATTAAATCGGTCACCCGTAGTGTTAGCCACCTGGAATTTATCGCAGGGTGGATTTTATTGTGTGTTATTTGAAATCGGGTCGAACTAGCAAAATTTAACCGCACCGTTCAATTTAAGGATAAGGGTTTATTACTTTTCTTCCGTTATTTATAAAGGAGTTTAGTTTTCCGTTTTCCTGCATAGCGCTTTCCCGTAGATACAGTTAATAAACTTCATTGCCACCTAAAAAATCGGTACTGTGTTGCGTGTCATATTTTTGTTTTAGCTCATACATCCGAAGCCAACTGGAGCTCGCCCTTAGAATCTCTGGAGACCGTTTCCCGGATTAGTTATCTATGGCAGCCATTTTGCAACCGTTCCGCATTCTTGTCCAGGGGCAAGATCGCATTCCCTTGGTGGCGCCCGAGACTGCAGTAAGGGAAAGCGTCGGAGAGAGATGAAATAAGAAATTAAAAGGATAGTAACAAGGAAAGAAATGCGGCAACTATTAAACGAGATATAGAAAGTATGTATTTAAAGGCAGCGTTTAACAGAGTGGGAAGGGCAACGTACGAAAAATGATGGAAGATGGGAAAACGGAAAAAGGAGCTATATGTATGGAGACAATGCGGAAATGAGGAGAGAGGGAAGGAGAAATGGAGAAAAAAAAGAAGAAGGAAAATGCAGACATTGTGGATGAAGAGCACATGCTATGAGAATGTAAACAGGTAGAAAGAGCAGAGGAAAGCAGGAGTGAAGTGCTGGAAAAGCGGGGAAGAGAAGGAAATGGATGAGAATAATTTATGAAGGGCTATTTTGAGTCGAATTTCCCAAAAAAAACCTATGCAATATACTGAGCTAGCCGACGGCATAACTTTTTTTGCAAAAAATAACGTCCGTTTAAATCCACCACTGCATTATTTTGGCCCTGGTTCTGTACCTTCCTCTTACAAGTCAATAAGAAGCATGGATTTAAGGCCAACGACCTTGTACCATGTTGTATGTTCAAAATAGACACGGTGGTCGAAAATTTGCGATATGCGAATGGTCTTCTTGCAGATTTACAAGAAATAGAAGATGTCATTGGAGAGTTGAAAATTGAAAATTACCCCAAGATTATACTCAAAAAAAATTATTGCTTTGAATTATCGTGAAAGAAAGAGACAGCTTGCATACCTGGTAAACGATGACTTGTTACAAATGCCCTGTTTACATTCGCCCTTCTCGATATAGTGAGGGCAGTGGTCGTGTTCCCTACAGCACATGTCCTCCCGACTGTGAGAGCCCAAATCGGTGTAGTTATCGGCGACGGCCCCTGTGCCATTTTGTTACAGTCGGCATGTAATTGTTAACACTTTATACCTGGGCCGCACCACTTCGTCCCGGGATAGATAAACCCGCCCTGGTACGACGACTGCAGCTTTCTCTTCTTGCACACCTCCTCCAGCTTGTCGATCTCCTCGGAGGAGGTAATCTTCACCTTCCGCTGCTCGGCGTTTAAGAGGGTGTGCTGTATGAAGTCTCTGCAATGCGAGTCTTTTGCCACTACGAATTCGAAGCAATCGACGGTACGTACCTGTCCGTGAAAAAAATGCAGTACGGTCTCTCCGTCGTGAACTCGATCATCCGAGACATTGTCCGGTCGGCTATGAAGAGGTGCGAGTCGGACGCCTTGAGGCAGGCGAGCAAAATTAGGAGGATCTGGGGTGTTTCGGTTAGCGAAGTTACCATAATTAAATATGCTTACCCTCATTGGATCGGTGGCGCGCGCGTTTTCGGTTAATCTGAAAATAAGAGATTAGTGAACGTTTAAAGTGGCGCCGCACAGACGATTTAACAATGAACGCCCCACCACTGCGGCTATGAATGGTATTCGATATCTTTCATTCATGCATTCGAAGTCTGGAAATTTGGGAAAATCTATACTGTGACGTCACTGGAAATCCATATCCTGTCACTTTGGATTCTTACGCAAGATGGCGTACGGGAAATTGATTTGAAAGGAAATGGTTTTGCGAAACTGATTCAAAGCTCATTTAAAATATAATCGTTTGGATAAACCCAACGGGCCCAATTAGGCTTGGCAATCATGATAGAGGGTAGATAACGTATCTTATGTGTAAAAACAAACATTACTTAATGAATAATTACCGTGGAGGAGCATTAATATATTTTGACCTCGTATAACATAGCCTTGAGGTTTGTTGAAGATTCTTAAGCGCGTTTAGTAGCTAATAATTTTCTGGAAGGTTTTTAGAAATATATGGATGCTCTTGAATGCCGATTCGGAAATGCTATTACTAGGTGGGAGAGTGAAGAACACTTTGGATAACTCTAGAAGAGCCTTGAACGCAGCTATTTTTACCTATTCGATGTCAACACGTATTGTATGAAGAGTTTGCTGTTAAACTGGAAGATTAACATAAAAAGAATGTAAGATTGGAAGGAGGCATTGCGTTTGCGTGCCTCTGAACAATTGTTTATATCTTTGCGCCTAAAATTTTGGGCGTACATTATAGTTGAATTTATTATTAGGATTTTCATTCATTCCAATTTTGTATAAATTTAAGAGGATTTTTCAGTTACGATTTGAATCTGATATGGAATTGCTGTTAATGTTTAAATTGTAACCTATAACGCTTGCATCATAAAAATCAAACGATGTATTAGCTGCATTTGACAGTATCCACTGATTTAAAGATATAATTCAGGTAACGTATCGATTTTCATCTTGATGGGATATTTAAAATGGACGCTTTATCTGAGTACAACGTCCCCAAATTTTATTGTCATAAATCCAATAAATTAAATTTTGGATATACCAATAAGGCATTATTTAATTACCACATAATACGTAACAGATATGTATATAGGCAAAACGAAAAAGGTAAGTTTTTTACAACGAGTTTATGAAGGAGCAACTACAAGTCAAGGAGTCAGTATGACAAATCAACATCATCGGCGCCCCCTATACATTGTACACTTTGACTGAGGTGACGAGTCTTGATATTTTTTAATTTTGCATTTTTTAACCCCCTTTCCGTATGTCACAGCTACTTTTCTTCACCTCGTTTTAATACGATAGAGAGATATTTTGAAGACGAGAGAGAGTTTCGGCGGCAGCGCCTCTCTACCTCGTACTGATCACTTAGGTATCGGAGGATTCCCCGCGTCATCTCTCATAGTCAGTCTATTTCAAAGACTGAATCTGATTCAAAAGTTGGCTCGCAAGAAGTAGATAGATTTGCCTGACGTTTCGCTTAGATGGAAAAGATCTCCTTATTTAGTTCGCTTTGTTCATTCACGACATCTGCCTGCCTCTATCTATACCCTTTCTGTTTTTACTTCGCTATTTATGATAACGAAAAACGGAACCAACAGCATTTCCGCGATCAACGTCCCCCTTACGCCAATAACAGACGCGCATTCAGCCCGGTCTGGAGCGAGCCAACGAAGCTGGAAAGTTTGTGAATAAGCTGTGCTGCTTGCATATTTTCAATCAAGGTACGTATTAATACGGCTATGTGTCTCAGTGGTAGAGCGTTGGGCTACATAGTCGGAAGGTCGGATGTTCGAACCTGGACTGAGGTAAGAATTTTTCATCTGTGGCAGAGATGGGAATTTCCTTAGATCAATTCCAAGCATTCTGTCGGCTACTCCGAATTAGGTTTTCCTGCAGTTTTCCTAATTCAGAGTAGTATAGAACAACTTATAAGACCTTCTGCAGGGCACCTCTAAAAAGGCATTATGAGGGTCACTCTGTAATTGAGCACAAGCCTGTTGAGGGCCCATAACAAGAGAGGGACAATAAATAAAACTATCGTTTTGAGAAATTATGAAAAAAAAATCCTTGTTAAAAATGGTCTAGCAGAAGGAAGGATGTAAGTGGTCCGCCACTGCCGTGTTTGTCTTGGTCAAGCATGGCAGACTCTTTGCGGTGGATCAACTTAAATAAATAAATTGTAAAACAGGCGCTTTCGGATGGAATTATGCGAATAGCCGCGAAGTATTACGAATACATTCAGCGATAGACCGAAAAAGTATTGGGTGCGCGGTCCGTAAAAGTTAAGTCGAAAACACACTTAGCGCGAAGTCACGAAAACGCGAAGTTTGAAAAACCCCCGAATGAAATTAAGTGTGAATCTAGCGGAAGTGTAAAATCAAAATAAACTTGAATTTGTTGAGCCTAAGTTAAGAACGTGTTAAATAATCCCAAAAAAAGCCAAGCTGTCCTCCTCTGAGGTAATCGTATTTTTTATTTGTATGTACAAACCATTACCGTGCCTTTAAGGGTAAAAACTTTGAACGCCGAATTCTCAAACAATGAAGGTGTGGATAATTCTTCAGATTGCAAATTGTGTAACAAGGAGTTAGGTAAATCAAATAGGTGGTCACTCAGGCAGAGCACGACTCTATAACGGAATTTTAAGTTAACAAATTAGTATGTACATATGAGGCGTATAAGATCAAAACCGGACATGTCACATGATTATGGTTTTCCAAAAAACGGAATAATCTGTCCAGTGGATTCGAAACATAAAAATTCTTGGTTTGAGTTGCAGATCTACCCAAAAACCCAAAAAATGATACTTACTCAAGAAACAATAAGAATATTTTGATTATTAAATGAGTTATTAATTAATTTAATTAGGGTTTGGCCGAATTTGCACCCAAAATGTGGACGTGTCTGGTTCTGAAACTAAATATGATGGATTTTTGAGTTACATATGCTTATTTTTTCAGTAAAAAAAAACTAACGCAATTGCAACATAATCAAAAATTTATTAAATGAAAATAAATTTTATATAAAAAAGCACAAAAAAGGGGCCACGCCACTTATATGCAAGAAACTACTTCCTCAATAAATTCATGATCACATGACACAATGCCAGAACGTTATTGGTTCAAATGGACATGTCCGTTTTTGCATCAGAATTTCATGGGACATGTCCGCTTTTGAATCTAATGGCAATTTTCAAGCCTGATTTTAATAGGAAATGTACGGATTTGCAAATAAACTGACTTCATTTTATTATAAAACACGCCTCAATGTACAAAACGTATGTATATCTCACTTCATTTTGTTAAAATATGTGACATGTCCGGTTTTGATCCTATACGCCTCATATGTAGTTAAAAGGAGAGATTGGTTTGTTTTATTAATATACATATAGAGATAATTACAAACTACGAACGAATGGAGGTTTAGGAGAAAGACGTATTTATATTTTTCGGATAAAAAATCCCGCTTTTCTAGAATTTACAAGTATAAAATTAATAATACTGAGAGGTTCCACAATGCACATATTTTTGAGAGTTGGCAACCACGCAATTTTTAGGAGGGAAAAGCGATTTGCGGCATCTGAAGAGCACGAACAGGGGTTCCGTTTGGCATCTTGTCTTGAATGGTGGTGGTGAACGCGTCGCTCCATAAATGTTGTTATTTTGTGTTTTTTTAATGCAGGTAGTAATCTTTGCATTTCTTTATATCGTATTTGTGTTTTGTATGCCACAGTTTATATTTTTTGTGTGTTTGAAACTTTGTTTTTGAAATTGACTTGAATTAACCGCAATACATGATCACATATGTGATACCGTTATGCTATTGTTTGTAATTGTTTACGTTTTTGGTGTGATGTTTGCTTAATTTATGTTTATTGATGTTGATTACTTGGTCTTGTCCCTAAAGTAACATTCATTTAATTTTGATCATTTTATTTTAATATGTGGAAATTACCGATTCCTTTGATGTATGTACTGACTTGTTGTTTGTAATTAACATTTTCTCCGTGAATGAAGCAGTCACGGGTGGGAAAAACTGTAGTCAAAATTGAGCTTGCGACACCTAATTCCGTGATTGTGTTCGACATTTAACTGTAGGCTCGAAACCCCGAAACCAGGGGCGGGTTACCTATCTTTCAGGAGCGGGATTACGCTCTTCATTTTAGAATCTATGTGAGAGAAATGAATGGCGATTCAATAATTTCCACATATCTTATTTTTAGTTAAATTTGCCTACAAGGACATGTAACTTTCCATCTTGCTTTTAACAAAAGGACTGTATTGCACCAAAGATGAGTCACATCCTGTGTATTTCACCCTTTCTTAGAATCTGGGTACCTGCTTACCTGACCCATAATTCCCAAAACTTGATTTTAAGCTATATGTTACCTCTTGAAGTCTACCTGCTACTTTTTGCGATGTTGTAATTTTATGTTACGCATTTGCAACATTACAAACAATTTATTTTACAACACAATGATATTAATTTGACGGCTGGTTTTTTTTATTGGTAAGTTCTTTTTTTCCCCAGCCTAATTCTATTTTTATTCGGTGAACTACAATTTTCAAAGTATATTTTTGCAATGTAATTTATTTCGACTTAAATTTCCGAGCTTTCACAATCTTAATAATTGCAATCATTATTAAACAAACTTTTCACAATTTGAGTGTTTTATTTTACGTTCCTCCCCTACTGTGCTTCAGGTCAAAGCGTTGCCTACAACTAACGTAAGGGGGTCCTGCCTTAGATGTTTGATCACGTGCCACTTTTCAAATTTAAGCGGGATCTTGTTTAGTTTTGGAGGGAATAGTCATTCGGATGCCTTTTTTTTAACGTTGCCGGGTTGACTTTATTTCCGTGTTCTTGTAGTGTGAAGTTAGCGTAGAACCTGGGGGTTAAAGTACACTACAAATCTATGAAAAAGGCGGTTCGAAGTTTAAGAAAGACTGATGAAAGAACCAATCTAAAGTATGAAACTTTAGCTGATCTAACTGGTTTTTAAACTACATTATGATTTTTTTGATTAACAGGAGGAAATGCATGTCAACAACGAAGAAAGGTAGAAGTAAAATCGCGACAAAAAAAAATATTGATGGAAGAGCTAATGCAACGAGAAGGAACGGAAAGAATCAGTAAAACTATGGCAGTCCACCAAAAGGTAGTAGCTTCCATTTCTGTTAACAAGCCCACGTCATCTTCTTTTTCAGACTTAAAAATAAAACAAAAACACCAATAAACTACAGTAATATGTTAAAACCTCGAACGCGTTTTGACAGCAAAGCTGTCATCATCAGCGAACAACTAAGCAATAACAAGTTCAATAACCACAAGTGGTTCCAGCGCTTCCTGTATCAGACTTCTCTAATACAGAGCCATTTACCGAATTTGAAATGGATTTAAAAGTTCAGAAAAATCCAGAAGTTGGATGGACTGTATTTAAACCACCAGCATCACAGCTCTTATGAATCTAAACTGCTGGAAAACGAGCGCGTTTCAATAACGAAACCTTCTTTAAAAAACCTTTCGTTTAGGTATATTTAATTTATTATTATTTGTGTCAATTGACAATAAAGTAAGTAAGGTTGTACTGCAGTTAGCAGCTACCACTACTTTACTGTATTTGGAGCCTTACATTTGACGTTGTCATTTATGTTACATATTCATACAGAGACGGAAGTGGGAAAAAGTGATTATTACTGATGTAATATGAAAGGTTTCGTGTGACCCCTTTAGTGGTACACAAATTTGGCAGCACTCTATACACTCTTCGACCTTGTATGCAATCACCAGCCGGAAAAACCGTGACGAAACGAAAAATCCCTACTAATCTCTGACGTCATGTCAACTGGGTTAGAGATTTGACGTTTCATTTCAAGGAAAACACAAATCGCAAAGCGACTGCCAAGCAATACAATATGGAATTGTAAATGCAACAAAGGAAAATAAGTTCAGCAATTCCGTAATGTTTCGTAAACTAGCAATAACGATTGTGATATTAATTATAAGTGAATCCCATTCCAAACCTTCACCAGACAATGGGGAAGTCTTCCTAACCAATCCTCGCTACTTAAACTATGACGATTTGACGACGCTCTTCGAGAAGTTCGTCGAGGACTACCCGCACCTGGCCAAGCTGCACAGCGCCGGTAAGTCGGTGAGGCACCGAGATCTGTGGGCTTTGGAGATAAGCAGCGACGTCGGTAACCGTCCGCTACTCACCCCGATGTTCAAATTCGTCGCCAACATGCACGGAGACGAGACCGTCGGTCGACAATTGCTGATCTATCTCGCCGAGTACTTGCTGACCAATTACGGACGCGACGAGCGCGTGACGAAGCTCGTCAACGGTACAGACATCTACCTGATGCCGTCGATGAATCCGGACGGTTTCGAGAATTCCGAGGTGGGTGTAGTCGATCGGTCGAGTTGAATTTACAATTGCGATTTTAGGAGGGCGAGTGCGAGTCGAAGCCGAAATACGTCGGGAGAACGAACGAGAATGCGGTCGACCTGAATAGGGATTTTCCCGATCAGTTCGACGGGTCGATACGTGCCGGCACTATTTTGTCCGGTCGCCAGCCGGAGACGATCGCCATGATGACTTGGATTATATCGAGGCCGTTCGTGCTGTCGGGGAATTTGCATGGGGGCGCAGTCGTCGCTAGTTACCCTTATGATGATTCGAAGTAAGTTCAGTCTTAGAGTTAGTCAGTTGTACAGGGTGCCCAAATAAGAATGCGAGGTACTGTATCTGGGAGAACTTTTTTTCGGACAATCTGAATCTGTTATCAGAATTTCCATAACACGTTAGAGGAAGGAGCTACAGGTCTTTATATTTTCTTATGGACGCCATATTGGATTTTTTGGAATGAATAAATCCAATATGGCGTCCATAAAAAATAATTTGTTATTTTTAACAATCAAATGGGGTTTTTTTGGTCACAAATGTGCAGCTTTGCCTACGAAAATCCTAATGGTGAGCCACAAAATTGAACCACCCTGTACAGGGTGACCAACTAAGAATGCGAGGTACTGTATCTGAGAATCTATCCATCGTAGAGGCTTGCGGTAAAAAAATTAATTACTAAAACGGCCACGAGAAAAACCTGGAAAATATTTTTAAGTTTCTGAAATGACCGCTAGGGGGCGTAACTGCAATCTGGAATCTAAAAAAGTGATTTTTCTGTGAATTCCGCTATATTAACCTAACAAAAAAATGTCCGGTCTTTGAAGACGACGATAATCTGAACCTTTTTTGTTTGACAATTTTTCCTGTATCTCTAAAAATGAAGTGGTGGGGGTATTCAAAGGTTTCCGTAAAGAACACCCTGTATCTTCGAAACGACTGAGCCGATTTTAACAAACTCGGGTTAATTGAAAAGAGTTATTCTTCGGCTGCTACTACAAATATTATAATATTTGAAGTTTTGTTAGTTTCATATATCGCCGCTTGAGGGCTATTCTCGACATTCCGACAGAAATGGTTAATTTTCTCAAAAAAATTAAATGCGTTGGTTTGATTTTTTTTTCATGAAAAAGTAGCTAAATGATGCCTAAACAAGCTCGCGAAAACCGCTTCTCGATATCTTGTTCCTAACCTACAATTTAGGCCAAAAGAAAATTTTATACCCTCAAAATTTTATTTTTTTAAGCTAATTTTTCCGGAATTATTTTTATTATATAATTTGTGGCCCTAAGGTGGATCGATTTAAAAAAGGAAGCTTTTAATGCCGCCGTAAATGCTCGAGGTGCCGTTTTCGCGAGATTGTCATTTAGCTACTTTTTCATGAAAAAAAATCGAACCAATGCATTTAATTTGTTTGAGAAAATTAACCATTTCTGTCGGATTGTCGAAAAAAGCCCTCAAGCGGTGATATGTGAAACTAACAAAACTTCAAATAGTATAATATTTGTAGCTGAAGAATAGCTCTTTTGAACTAACCCGAGTTTGTTTAAATCGGCTCAGCCGTTTCGAAGATACAGGGTGTTCTTTACGGAAACCTTTGAATACCCCCCACCACTTCATTTTTAGAGATACACGAAAAATGGTCAAACAAAAATTGTTCAGATTATCGTCAAAGACCAGACATTTTTTTGTTAGGTTAATATAGCGGAATTCAAAGAAGCATCACTTTTTTAGATTCCAGATTGCAGTTACGCCCCCTAGCGGTCATTTCAGAAACTTAAAAATATTTTCCAGGTTTTTCTCGTGGCCGTTTTAGTAATAAATTTTTTACCGCAAGCCTCTACGATAGACAGGTTCTCAGATACAGTACCTCGCATTCTTATTTAGCCACCCTGT